GATGCACGCTTGGCTTTTCTAATTTGTTTACTGTATTCGTTTAGGGCCATCCTGTAGGCATCCCATTCATGGGTGATTTTAGCCCTATTGAATAACTTTCGTGTTTCCTCCCTAAGTTTTTTCAGCTTTGAGTTCCACCACGGTACTTTCCTTTTGGATGATTTGATTTTGGGTGTACAGCTAGCCTCGAAGGCATCTTTAATGCCATTAGAGACCGCCTCTACCGCGAATTCAATGTTCTCAACCGTTCTAATGCATTTAGGAATTACTTCTAAGTTCCGAACAAGGTGTTTGTTGTATTCATCCCAGTCGGTGCGCTTAGGGTCCCTAAATGCACTAGTATGTGTACTTAGTTCCGATGTTAGTTCTAAGCATATATGCCTATGGTCTGACACTGAGTTTTCGTTACTAACCCTCCAGTTTTCTACATGCCTGGCCAGGTTGTAAGTGGCGAAAGAAATATCTAGCACTTCTTGTCTCGTCCTAGTTACAAAAGTTGGTTCACAGCCATTGTTTAAAGTTTGAAGACAATTGGTTACTAGGTAATTGTTTAATAACTCACCTCTGTTATTAATGTTTGTACTTCCCCAGTCGGTGTGGTGGGCGTTCGCATCGCACCCCACAAGCAGCTCAGCATGGTGTCTCCGGGCGTAGTCGACCACGGGTGTGAGCTCAGCAGTCGGGTCAGCTTTATCTCCGGGCAGGTAGGCCGAGCACACGAGCACTCTGGGCCCGTGCCATCCCTTGAGATTGACAAATGCTGCTACAAGGTCATCTGTGCACAACTCTGTAACAGGCAAATAGTTAGTGTTTTTGCTGAAAACAATACACGCCCTGGGTTTCAAGCCATCAATGTTATAAAGTACCTTACCAGCGGCTTTGAGTCCCAGTATGGTTGAGTTATGCACCCAGGGTTCTTGAATCAGGGCAAGGTCGACCTTTCGTTCTGCAAAGCACTGTTCCACTACTGCGGATGCAGCAGCGGCGTGTTGGAGGTTTGCTTGCAGAATCCTTGCCCGAGCCCCCTGGTTGGCCATTTTATTTCCCCCGTTTGGCAGCTTTCGCGGCACCCCGTGATCCCCCCGCTAGAGGCGTTGGTCGCGCTTTAGCGTTCGGGTTTTGGGGTTTTGCCACTCCAGCTGCATTATTATTTATCAGTTAGATATTTATCTATTTTCTCATAAAATAGTAAGGGTGACGACTAATTTTTATTTGTTTGTTCGTTAGGTAGTTTGTTGAAAAATATAAAACACGTTTTTTTTGGTCGTAATCATTAAATTACGGCGATACATTGAGTTAAAATATCACATAACGTCACGCTTTTGTATATTTTCTACAAAACTGTGATGTAACGAGTCCCCACTCCTCAACTTTAATGCCAGTTATCTAAGCTATTTCTTGTTAAATTGAAGTAAAAAAAAATACGTATCTAATATTTTTCTATTATCTGCCTGACGGACAAAACGGAATTTCTTCCCTGTTGTCGGGTCTTCTCATCACGTGACCGTACCATCTGAGACTCGCTTCACATATTTTGTCTTTTATAAGTGCAAGTTTAAAGCTTCCTCGTATTTTGTCCCTAAGTGTCACTCCACCAGCCCATCTCAGCCAGTGGCGTAACTACAGGGTGGCAAGTCAGCAAAATGCCACGGGCCCCCAGTTGGAAGGGGCCCCCGGTCAGAGACTCCTTACATTTTTTATTACGTTATTAGTAAAAAATATTGAATATCCGATTTATTTGCCACGGGTCTCAAACGGTATAGTTACGCCAGTGATCTCAGCATACACATTTCAGTAGTGCACAACTTTCGATCGTGTTCAAGCTAGCTTTACAAACATGATACGGTCACTAACTCTATATCAATATTCTTACTCGATATATTATACATAGATAGGGACAGACGATGATGTATTACGTATAAGAAACATTTATTAATTCATTACTCTCATGATTTTATCTTACCACTTTGTCGGCGTGATTAACGTGTATACTTTCAATCTTTCAATAGCTATTTCAATAGTTTTTGACAATATACAATATACATGGCGAAACTATAACAGTTCTTTGTTGACTACAGAACATGGCTGAAAAATGCTACTATTTGTAGCAAATTTATTGAGTTAGTGGAATTTCTTTGTTGCACATTTTATACTCTTCAAATCTATCTTCGTCTGATTATCGTCGTCACTACATAGTATAAAACAAAGTCGCTTTCTCTGTCCATATATAATAGGGGTTAAAGTATGAAATTGCCGATTAGTACTGAAAATCAAAATTAGATTGTATAAGACGGGTATTAACGCGATAGATTTTGATAGTTAGGTTTTCCTAGGGGAAGAAAACTTCTTGTCACGTAGATAATTGTCCAAATCACGAAAAAAATGGTAGTCCGTTAGAGCAAGGTCTGGCGAATACAGAGAATGCCGAATGGCTTCTAACTGCAGTTCCTGAAAACGGTCAAAACGGTTTCTCGTGCTGTATGAGGTCTCGCGTTGTCATGGAGCAATAATGGTGAAGATCGATTCTTGAGTCGGGGCTGTTTTACTGCTAGTTTTGCCAACATTGTTCGGAGTTCGGCACAATAGATATCTGCCGTTATTGCTTGACCAGATCGGAGAAAACTATAGTGAATAACACCATGCTGAAACCATCAAACAGTTACCATTAACTTTTTATTGGTAAGTTTTGCTTACGGCAATAAAATTGTGGCTTTTGACCTGGGGTTTGCATATCTTTTAAGGTTATCATAAAGAATCCACTTTTCATCACATGTCACTATTCGATCCAATATTCCTTCATTTCTGTACCGATTAAACAAGGCAACGCAAGTTTCAACACGCGTTTCTTTCTGCAGATCAGTCAAATTATCGGGCACCCATTTTTTGTATTTTTTTATTTTATTGATTTGACGCAAATGAGTAGCTCGGTGGCGTAGTGGATAATCGCCGCGGCTCGCGATCGTAGTCGTGAAGACTACGATCGCGAGCCGCCAAAAAATTATTATCTCGAGCTACTCCGTGCTTCGGAAGGCACGTTAAGCCGTTGGTTCCGGCTGCATTTGCAGTCGTTAATACCCTCCAATCCGCATTGGGCCAGCGTGGAGGGTCATGGCCCATCCTCCTTAACCATCCATAAGGAAGGCCTGAGCCCCTGCAGTGGGGACGTAAAAGGGCTAGTGATGAGTCAATATTGTGGGTAAGGTAACGTTAAACCATGCCGCTAATTCCTGGCTAGTTTGACTAGGATCGGCTTCCCCCATCTCTCTTAATTCATCGTTATTCACATGTGTGGGCGGTCTTCCTCGTGGCTCGTTTTTCAAGTCGAAGTTTCCATCACGAAGGCGTTTAAACCAAAATCGCACGGTGCGTTCATTAGCAGACCCCTCTTCAAACGCACCATTGATATTGCGGGCTGTTTCTGCTGCATTACTTCCGCATCGGAACTCGTATTCAAAAATCACTCGAATTTTCGCATTATGAATCTTTCTTGTCTAACATTAAGTTGAATAACAAAAATAGTTGATAGTCGATATTCAAATGTTTCACATTTTTTAAAAGAAGAACAACAAAGAAACCATGTGAAAAAAGTTTCTTTCGAAATAATCAAACCATGAAGTTTCTATATCAATTCAAGGAACCTATTACAATAAAACGGCAATTTCATACTTTAACCCCTAATATATTGATAGCTTTTGCTTAAATACACCTAAAAATTAATTAAATAACAAAATAAGTTCTATAGATAAATCACGCTCTAAAAAGTTTAAAATTATATATAACTATAGCATATTATAATAGCGATGACCAAAGGACAGCGTAGTCTTATGCCACAACAGTTTTTGTTATGATCAGTGTCATCAATCGGGTTTTAGTTTAACATATTTTTTTTATAATAACACGAGATTATGTCTTAACCAAAGCCGTGGCAAAGGTTGTAAATAATGGTGATCTGCTCGTGAGGAGCTCGATGGTGCATTGATTAGCGTGCTCATTCTGCGATACGTTTGTTAACCCACTTTTTACAAGGGCCGGTCATAGGACGGATAATCAAAAATTTATCATATCGATTTCATCCTTGTTTCGGGTAACACCCACCAATCCACGCTGGGTCCGCGTGGTGGGTCATGGCCCATTCTCTCTATACGATTTCATCCATAAGAAAGGCCAGATCCCCAGCAATGGACTGATGATGATGAATGGTGATCTCTGATTAGTACGATTATTTATTTTCTTTTGAGTTATCATATGCTTGTAACTAAAGTTGTAAAAACAGTAGTAGCAAGCATTGCATAAAACAGTCGCATTCAGTTACAATAATCGTTTACATTTAGGACGAGTCTGTAAATCAATTTATGTTTAGTACTATGGTACTGTTACGAGTCCGACGCCCTGTCTGTTGTTAATAAACGACACTGAACTATATCGTTGTCATTCTAAAGTTCATCAAAACTGTTATAACATAAAAAAGTCTCCACTCTATTATATAAGTCAAAGCAGCGAGTACAAAATTGGTTATACTACTCGTTTATAGTTTTTATTTTATAGTCAATCTTTTAACCCTATTAACCTTTTTCTATCGTAATTGACGTCTCATTGTCAAATAATACTGTTCGTTATCATCCATATTATCATCAAAATAATAAACATAACTATTGATTTCAGTTATAATCTGGATTTTTAATGACCTACGTCGTCACGATATTAGTTTTGTTATTCAATATTGAATTAATATAATAATGCATTTAGTTCAAGACGATTTGCTTGCCAATATATGTTATATAGAAAAGTATACTTTTGTTTATAATTAAGTAAAAAACTACTGGGCAGTCTTTAAAATGTATTTTTCGACATAAAAATGCAATATTTTTGTTGAGAATGAACCCATGGCAACTGCCACAGTATAATCGAATAGAAAAACAAATTCTAACTGCACATCAAAATGAATGATTTGATGCCTATAAATCTACTAGTTATGGTAATTAAATAAAAAAACACGTGTAGTGTTAAAATATTTTGTATTAATAAAAAATAACAAATGAAATAAATATTGCCTCCGTAATATACGGAATTACAAGTATTAAAATCCTACAACGTAAAATATTGTTTGATTTAAAATAAATTTCTTACATAATAATTATTTGGTCATACACAATAAGTACTTAATTATTCTTTTGTCATGATTAACGCAAGATTTTAAATTACATTACATTACTAAACTTATAAAATACAAATCAATTTGTTACGTATTTACATGGTGCCTTTAACAGCAGTCAATCATTGATGCTATTGTAACAAAATGAGATTCTTTTTAAATTGATAAAATCAGAAGAACAACTGATAAATTAAGGCCGCTGTGCGGAATGCTACTATTATATATTAGTCTAAAGGAACTATGAAAGACATTCACTTGTTGCCTAATTTTACTAATATAATTTAAATGTACGTTTTAGTAATTTTATGGCTACAATCCAAATCAGTCTTCATATTACACATCAAACATACAGTGTATGTTTTAATTGCACCCCAATTAACCTACCTATGTTCCCTAACTAACACAGCTCAAGTGCAGCCAAAAGCATTTTGGAATGTACAATATGTATACTATTTTATCACTTGCTCCTAATTCATTTTGTAAGTGTTAGCTAACATACGTTCTGAATGGTTTTGTCATTATTTTTGATGTTCCGCATTCTCCTCGATCCACTTGTTAGTTTCTTTTCAATTTCTTCCAAGCTTATGCCTCGAGTTTCAGGTACGAAGAATATAACGAATAATAATCCGACTATACAAATAACAGTGAAAAGCCACATGGCACCATACATCTTGAGAGCGATACTGACGCTTTTGAAGGTTTTCGTTACTATGAAAGCGCAAGTCCAATTTAATGCAGTTGCCATTGATGCAGCCGTACCTCGAATCTTTGATGGCAATATTTCTCCAAGCATAAGCCAGGGAACCGGTCCGAAACCAACTGAAAAGCCTAATACATATATAACAAGGCACGCTAGTGGCAGCCATCCTAAGTTTTTAACATCAACACCAGCATCGTTCAAATAACAATAGGCACCCAGTGACACCATGGTAACAATCATGGAAACACTTGAGATGTAGAGTAACATTTTTCTTCCTAGACGATCTATCAAAACCGTAGCTATGAAAGTAGAGATGAAGTTTACTATTCCTATGATTATACTCGACAAATTTTTGTCAATGCTGCTTCCTGCCATTAAAAATATTTCTTCTGCATAGAATATGATTGCGTTTATACCACTCAATTGCTGGAAAATCATTAGACCTAAAGCAATCGCAATAGCAGGCACGTATTTTTTGCTTAATAGCTGTCCAACAATGTGCCCTTGGACATGTTCAGATTCCACTTGGTGTCGTGTTAGATCCCTCAATTCTTTTTCTATATCGACGTTTTTTCCTCTTAACCATTGTAAGGACTTCCTTGCATCTTCCATACGTCCTTTGCTCATATACCAGCATGGTGTTTCCGGTGTTAAAAGCATCAACAAGAAGAATGGTATCGGAAGTGCAGCACCTAGGTACGCCAAGTTTGACCAGTCCAGATATTTTCCGACGAAGTATGCTAAAAGAATTCCCGTATTACCGAAGGCTGTTGGTAGTAATCCTAGAGCTCCCCTTACTTCTGGTTGTAGCGTTTCACCGAGGTAAACCGGGAAAGCCAACGTTCCAATACCAACGCATATCCCACAAAGGGCTCGACCAGCATAAACCATGGTAACGTTGCTTGCACAAGCTATTAGCATCCAGCCAACAAAAAATGGTACTGCGGTGGCAGATATTGCAAGTCTTCTACCGAGATAACTGATTAGTGATCCACCGCCAATGCTTCCAACTAAGGCCGCCAGAGGAAGGAGACCGCCAACCCAGCTACTCTGAAAACAAAAATAATTAATTAGTCCGTTAATTTTACTAGTGGCATTCGATAATAATATTTTTCGAAATTTTAGATTCAGAAAGTATTAAAAAAGTATCTAGTGAAATAAATGTTATTATTTTAGATGGCGATAATATTTTCGGAAAACGTCTGTCAAATAACAAAGTGAAATTTTAAAATCTAATTAATGCTGAGAGTTGCATTATTAAAAAAAAAGCACAAAGAAAAATAGGTGACTACTTTTGATTTACTTTTTATTACATCACATAGAAAATCAAAATGCATATTCATGAACAATTTGATAGAATATAACAAATGTTTAAAACTACGTAGCGACATCTTGTCTTTTTTTTAATCTTCATTATAAAATAATAAACTTTCTAAAATAATTTTACTGGTTATATGCGACCTAGTGAGTTGTGATATTCTAAGACAAATTATTTAAAATTGAACTAGCTGCCTAATATATTATGTGTACTACTATAGTTAGAAAGTTATGCACATTACCAATTAAAATAAAAACTTACTTGTTCAGCTGTTAGGTTCAAATCGGCTGTCATACTTTTGCCAGTTGGAGATGTATAAGCTGATCCGAAACCGACAATCAACGATCCCATGGAGACGGCAAATGCAGCCAGCACCTGAAATGAAACGGTTGTATTAATTAAAAATATTTCTATTTAAGAAAAGTGTTTCTAAATGCGAACCTGCCGTAAACATTTTTTCATGATTTTATTTTTATCCTGTCAATTCAAACTTTCTTGCGTTGTAGCGCACACCTTTCCCGTAAAGCTATGAACTTTTGTGTATGCTCGATTCTTATTATGTACCTTCACAGAACCAACAACATACATATAGGAAAATATTAAGTCCATATGCAGGAAATTATTTGTTTGCACTTAGACAAAGATTGATTTGTTACGAATAAATGAAGTTATTTATCAGTGTATAACAAAATATCCTTCAGAAGTAGACTTCCTTGCTTTACGGAATATTATTGACTTACTGTTTTATTTAAATAGATGGTGGATGGACACAAAGGGAGAAACATTTTTAATATGCTTCTTTTAAAAATCAAGTCTCAATTGTATGATGGAAATTTTCTACAAAAAGTATTATTTGTCAAATGATTTTCTATTCAATTCACGTCTTATCGATATGACATTGATTTTACTGTTTATGAATTACCTACTCTTGGAATCGAAATACATATATGCAACCAAATCAGAATTGCCAATGTTTGCAAAGAATTTAAGATTTGATCATATTATTTATGCGTAGTTCAGTAGGTTTATAAATCGAGATAAAACTGCTTTGTTTTATTTATAACAACAAAATATGAAGTATGTTTGAGATGAGACTAACCTGTGTCCACAGATAAATTCGCTGTGTAGTGGGCGCATAAGGTTGACTATCTCCATTAATAGTGTAGTCAGTTTTCACTTTGTTGCTGTCTGTACTGAGTTGTTTCACAAATGGAACAGAGTTGCGTAAATTTTCTTCCTTGGCACTTGTTATTTCCATTTCCATTTTATATTTAAACTTGTCTCCCAAGCTAATTTGTCTTAACTGTTGGAAATGACGACGGGTCTTTTCAAAAGAATCTTGCTCGTCCTCGCTACTACTTTCAGTTGACTCGTTTTCAGGAATGGTAGCGTAATTGGGCGCAAGTGTTCCCTGGGAACCACATGAGGTGGCTAATGAAGTACAGGTTGTCGAAGTTGAGAGAGTTGGCTTTGAAGGTACTCTTGCGTATTTTGGACCTCGTGTCTTATACAGTCTCTCCTCGTCACCTTGGCCGCGTCTTGTCTGCTCGTTCCCACCCTGGAATATAAAGCACTCACATAATGACTATGTCCTTTGTTCCACTGAACACAAACACACAAATGTACATAATTCCACCAAATTCTAGAGTTTAATAGATACACAGCAATTACCTATTATAAATTAGTTGCTCTATATCACAAGACATTCGATACCGAAATGGACATCCGCAAACAGGGGTACATTTATTTATTATATCTGCTATCTAATGTGCGTAAGTGTTTGGTCCAAGGCACTTGAGGTCATTCGTTCTGAGACAACGTATTGACCACTGACTATCATTTGACCGAAGCATGTCGCTGATAACCCTATGACAATACAAACACAAGTCTACCCTGACCCGTTTAGCGCTCGCGATTCCTGTCTGAACACAACTACATCACACGTGTATTGGAAATTTATCTTTTTTGTTTTCTAACATCATACAAAGCGGTCCTTAGAAGACTGCGAATAACGACCGCTGACGACGTGATGGCACTGTCTATGTCAAACGGATAGCGTTATCGACCGATCTGGAGTAACTATAACGATGTTTATAAAACATGAACTATAAATATTTTCTTGAGTTGTCATACCTATCGTTACCATTGTAATTGGGTTTTAGCATAAGCAATATTCGTAGTGCCGCCTCTTCGTTTCAGGATTGTGGGGCAATTTTAATTCTAAATCTATTATAGTTTGTATTATTTAATTATTTACCTCCAAATTAATGAAAGTATTGTAATTTTGATTGTTCCTTAATCTATTAATAGTGCACCATTCCATTACTTGCAATTTGTTCAAAACAATATATATTCCAAAATGTATTGATTTGTAAATAAAATTGTGTTATATGATCATACTGTCAAAAACAATGTCAAAAAGAAAAAGTTTTCAAAGACCAATTAAACGGACTATAGAATGCTTTTTGAAAACGCAATCAAAATATTGTTATGAATACTGTAATTTCTTCGATCAATATTGTCGATCGAAGTGTAACTTTTTTATTTATTGTTTTGATGTATTCCTTGTATTGTATAAACAAATAAACATTGGTCACTAATTCAATTAGCATGACATACATTAATATTTTATCTTCCAATGATATTATGCTTAAATATTATGCCGTTTCGCATTCTTGATATTTCGAGATATTTATATGTATTTTTAAACTTTCCTTGTTACTTGCTTTTACTTGCAAGTTGTTTGTTTTCTATTATTTATTTTAAAACTCCATTAGGTTTATTTAATTTTATTATGGCAACAAATTGTCTTAAACAAATACAGTTCCAATCGCAAAAAAAACTTTCTACAGAGCTTAGCTACTGTAAGACTAATTTTCTTATGTTCAGTCCATCCTAAATCAATATTGTTTCATTGGGGCGCCGGGGGCGTTGGGGGCATCGTTAAGCGCAAAAGGGAGAACCTTTGCCAGTTGTTTCGAGAACTTTGGCTTTTCTATTTTTAACAATGACATATGGTGTGTACAATCAGCCAACTTTATTTTCAAGTTACTTTAGGCCATGATGCTTTAACATCCAATATTATTTGATGTCAGTATGGGATCGGAAAGGTCGGAAAAAGAAACGTCCAAAAGATATTAATTACTGATTACATATGATATTTAATTATAACGCATCAAAATTGTTTTAGTTTGTTTCAGAAAATAAGTAATGAAAGAGTGGTCTTGGTTTTAGGTGCCATCTTTTATAGTGACAATAAAGAAATCGGTTGATTCTACTTTAAAACTTCTTTGTTAGTTTTCCTGAGTACTATGGCAACATAATTTATTTATTTATTATACAATAATATAAGATAGATTATCGTATGGAAAGTATTTCCTTACAGTATTACCACCAACACAATGCCATCTATATGAATTACTAAGAATTACTTAATGTTTTAGTTCTTTATTAAACAACAATATGACGTGGTGGCGCTAGTGATTATCGGTGACGATACGTCATTGAAAAGCACTTAATTCGTTAGGTGGCGCTGTTGCATATTCGTGTTATCTCTAGCTAGATCTCTACAATTAATGATATATGTTGTATAAGTTTGGTTATTAATGCTATTAGAATTATTAAGACAATTGCAAAATCAATATTCATAATTAGTATAAACAATATGTTTATATTTATAATTATTGCACCACGTATAATATCATATTCATAAATAATACAAAAAAAATAGGTAGGCTATCTAAACTATCAATTTTTCTTGTAAAATTCGATATAAATAAATATTTTTAATATTTGTAGAACTTAAACTAGGAAGAACCAGTATTCATCGTTTTAAGAGGCGGTCGACCTTGCAAGGCTGTTGGGTTAGTGCAACTAGTGTAAGAACCAGTGATCGTATATAGTTGCAACTTTTTTATTTATTCTGATTTAAATTGCGAACTATAATATATTTATCATAAATTACACGTTAGTTAATGTTGATAACGTGTAAAGTATTTGATTTCTATACAATAGAGTAGTGGTTGCCGGGCAACCGATGGAATCGACCGCCTGCCTCCTGCGAGTGGGTGGCGCAATCGGGTGGCTGTACGTCTATAACTTTCCGATGTGGAAAATTCGAGAAGCACTATCTTCTTTCACCTTTCACGTGTATTAATTTTGGATTTCCATAGTATTTTTTTTTTTAAGTATGGCTCTACATTTTAAAAAACTTATTACGGTGGAATTACAATAAGTAGTAAAAATGTGAATGTATGTGAGCTTACCATTTCAGTGGAGAGCTGTTTCAAATAATCCATGATTTTCCCCATCGCGTTGGGGTTGTTCTTATTGAAGCTCATCTTGTGGATATTCCTTCAAAACCAGGTTTAGTCTTCACGGAAGACGTCAAGGAACGCCGAAATGAAAGTGTCTGTAGAATTGCACGCAGTATTCTTTACTTGTACAATATTGTCTCTTATGATCCAGGTTCACGAGTTCACTTATTAAAATAACATCACTCGCTGACTTAGAACTGCCGCGGTTTGCATATCATATATCACAGTCTAGATTTGACACAGTTTATTCGTTTGAGTATAATACTAATTGATGTATTATTGTAAATAAGTACACGAAAATTGGAAAAAGTTCATTCAAGCTTTTAAATTGGCGCCACAACCTGTAAGGGGGCACAACATTCAACTTTTAAGCACAACAAACGAAATGTTGGCAGCGCGTACCGAGTTTCACAGAGCTCAAGTTCTCTATTGAAACTTGCAGATGGCATTGCCGTGTTTTTATACTATAAGGTTGGCAGCGACCGGAGCCGCGCGCCGACAACCTTTCCCCCCGCTCCCCTCTTACATGCGGCTTGCGTCGGTGCAAGATTAGTGCGTGTGTGCGCACGCACACCAATTCATGTTCAGTTCGTACCTGATTGCGATTACAGTGATCGTTTTGCATTTACACCGTGAGCCATGAATTTGGTTACTTGGCTTATTAACACATCATTCGGTTTTGCTTTATCTACAATATATTAGGTTCTCATAATTTTAGTCAAGGTTCTGCGTTATTTTAAATTAAATTGAAAAATATATAAATTAAATTGTTAATTTAACTGTTTATTCACTATTGTTACAAACAGTAGATAATATATTAATAATTTCTTTTCTAGGTCTAAATTTGAACGAATCTTAACATGATTTTAATTTTAAGATACTTACATATAATTTAAAAAATAATAATCAGCTCTATCTTTAGATATTGTTATTATCATTTGGTTTAACTGAATACAGCTATTCTTGGCTAAGATTTTCTTACTGGTCTATCTTGTGGTTTGCGGTAAGTGAACGTCTAGACACCATCACAATTCATTCAACGAATCCACTGAAAGGGAATTAAAATATTAGAATAGCGGAAAAAAGTTTAGCAAATTTAATTTTACGGGCATTTATAATAATAATAAAATAACTTAATTCTCACCACATAAGACATAAATAAATAAACATAGTTAATAGTTACACACTAAAAAGTATCGATATTTGACTAGATTTATATTTTTTTAATATTAATTAATATATTTCATTTATAATTTTGCATTCACAATGGTATACTGATCAATATTTTTATGAAAACTGCTTAAAAACCTGCTATTTGGGGCAGGTGGATTTTTTAATTTTTTTTTTCAAAGTAGTATTTCAGTGTTTATCTGTTTACCGTATTTAAAAACTATATAATATAAACTATAAACAATAGATAAATTCTGCATTTTTTTATTTTTACTTTTAGTGCTACTTTTAATGTACTTACTAATGAATTTTTTTTTCTTTTTATTTTTAATGAAATAACTTGATCAATTTTGCATTGACAGTGCTATATTGAAAAATATTCTTAATAAAAAATTCCACTTGCCCCAGATAGGAGTGCGAAAGGTCGTGGGTTCGAGTCCCATCTCGGAGTGTCTGGAGCAAGTGAATTCTTAAGCTTTTTACATTAAGAGTAGTTTTTGTATTATTATTTCGGGAGAAGGAACCGTATTGATAAATAAGGTTACTTGTATAATTTATAAAACTTACAAATAACTCATAACGCGTGATTTCGTCACATTACTTCTGCGCCTAATTAATACTAACATATGGGTATGTAGAGATAAAACGAGGTAAAAAGCCAACCAAATATGATTTGGTTTTAAATTACATATTCAATAGCTACATTTTGCATGTTATTACATTTTGCATAATTGGAAGCTGAATAAATTCCAGTCATTTTAATTGACTCTACATTTTGTATACTCTGTATTTTTGTGTTTATCTGATATCTATTCTACCTGTGTAGTGTATAAAAGAAACTGGCCAAGAGCGAGTCTATAAAAATCACGGTTGTTGTATCTGATTCAAGGGCGGCAAATATTTATTCAGTTTTTAAACCTAAGTTTACTTTCACAAGTCAAAAAATCCTAGTCCTTACCAAACTGCTATCAACTGATCATTAAAAAAAATCAGAAACAAATCCTGTTTACACGTTCAAAAACAGTTTGAGTCGTGCTTAACTTTAAATACTCAATTCCGAGACCGACCGTAACACCCTGTTTCTGAATTGAGAAAATTACAAAATCTCAAATTATTATTCTCAATAAATGAAGTTTTATGCGTTTCACACGGCAAAAAGTCCTAGTTTCATAAAATAAATAATCATGAAATAAATAAAAAATAAACTAAAATCATAATAGAAAACATGTTTAAGTATACGTGCTCAATTCAGAAACCGAGTATAATTCTCAATAATAACTTTAAGAAAAGTCAGTTATTCTCTCATAAGTATGCGAGCATACAAACACATAATAATAGTTCGTCCGTTTAAAACGATGCGCGTCATACGCGAATAATTTTCGGTCCAGTTTGATTCAATCAAATGTAGTTCCGTCATACTCGGCGGCGCCTACTAAGCACAGATGACTACCTATCTCATTAACCTGATGAAATCAGGCTAGAATACTTTTATTATAATACCGTCATAGAATCTGCAACTATTAATTTCGTATGAATAGTTTCCTAATTAAAATAAATCAAGAAACCCGGCAATATGTATTATTTTGCGTACCGGTTTTTTGATCATGTGACATATTTTGTCACTTGTCGCAATAGTTACGAATGTCAAGGGAGCGAAACATGTATATGAAGACCGTGACCGGACAGACAATCTAAATATTTCTTATATAAATGAGCGTCTTTCTTTCGAAAAAAGTCTTATATATATTTAAACACAAGTCTGCATGTAGCTGTACTTTTTAGATAGGTGGTGTCTGTGTTTTTTGACTAATCTCAAGTAAAATCTTCGAGCCTCGGTTTATCCTATTTTTACGTGAATATCGAATTGAGTAACTTATTTTTGCTCATGTTAATTTTATTTTCCTGTTTATTTACGATCCGGTTATTTTTGTGACTGAATAGGTTTTCTTGGATGGATATGGATGGACATACGTATAAGAAAGGTGTTTGAAATTAATTAACAATGTAGATTTTGTTAAATAATGGAGATAATGTAGATTTTTAATAATAGAGTTTGTAAAATGTGTTTTGTTATAAAATTGCATGTCCGATTTTTAAAACCATCTTCTACTTTGTGGCTGCATAAGTTTTTAGGTCGAAATTTCAGGGCGCTCAATGCACATTTATTTTCGTGCATGAATAGCCACGTGTATCGTGTCACGTATTCATATGCATCTCCCAGACTCCCGAAAGCGGTGCATAACCGTTTGCCACGCCTACCCACACACCCACCGAGAGCTTTAGATACGTCACGCGCGCGTCACACACGGTGAATCACCCTTGCTAGACTAAAGGGACACCGGCAGCCGACACGCTAAGTACAACACAGGCGTATTTCATATGATTTATAATATCTCTACTCTAGTAATATCTTAGTGTCTAGGGCAAATCCTTCCTAGATAGTTACATTAGTGTTAGTGATGCCGCTGCTGCCGGTGGTATCGCTCTGTGCGACTTCGACCACACATGTCTGCCAGTTAGTGGCACACTAACAAGCTTATGTAAACTTTTAGATATTCGAGCCGACACGCACACATGTGTTACTGATTCAAAAATGTCAGTGGAATTTTACTAGAGACCAAGAGCGGTAGGACGAGTCTCGCTCTCGAACGTTCTACACATATGGTATGCTGTATTTCTCACTGCAATTTTTTTATGTGAGGTCGTAAAGAATAGATAAATGAGAAAGATTATTTACTAAAAATTTCCCATGACATGGGAAATTTTTAGTAAATAATCTTTCTCATTTATCAGAGATAAAAATAATATGTATATTATTTTCATATTATCAGAGATAAAAATAATATGTAAGACAATCCATTATTTATGATTATAACAAACATTATCGTCAAGACTACTTTATTTATAAATATTTTATGCAACGCAACATTGACAAAGAACGATAATTTAACTTTATCATGAGCAGACACCATGTGTCACGCGATACGTCTCGTCGGAGAGGGAGTGTCTTATCTATCTGAGAATTTATATATGTAAAAATTTTCCATAGAGTATTTATATTAAAGCAGCTGGTATTTTAACACCTCATCTTATTTAACAAAACTTTCCGCTGAATTCAAGGTTTCAATTCAAATTCAAGGTACCAAAGTCATATAATAAAAATAATAGACGCATAGCACTGAATAAGAATGCGTTGTTTTGTACAGCAACAAAATATACCGTCGTTGTTTAAAAAATAAATCACACATACACTTTTCTTATCATAATACACGCTATACATAAAAACAAGCTCTCAATATAAACTTGCAATGCATTAAAAAGATGCCTTTAATTAAATGAATCGAGGGATTCAAATTCACAAACAGGCCGTGGCCTAATAAGGCGTCCATACTTATATATAATTTATTATTATAAATGAAACAGTAGCACTCTATTGTCCATAGTAACGCCGTCTATCCCCTGTTCTAGTATGTTTTTGCTGCAAACCGCTGAGTCGATTGTTACTTTATTAACATAGAGAAAGGCCTGCGGAAGAACGTAGGTCACATTATCCAAATATTCAAAGTTAAGCCAAGAAAGTCGCGGAAAAGGCCTAGTATTATATATTACCTATTATTGATAGTACAATTTTGTTTATCTGGTTGAAACATAATATATATTTTAATTATATCGGAACCCTTCGTCAACGAATATACTTAGAAGTATTTAGAGTTATAAGTGCAAGTTCCGTTCTCGTGGTCTTCAAATGTATTGATTTTTATGATTACAGTTTTTATCGGTAAATAGTAAGTGTTTTATATCACTAGAGCCTCCTAACTTACTCTATATATTCCATAACGAGGCTCTGTTGTGATTGTGACTTAAAAGAAATACGAACTTTGTCATTTATTATTGGTAAGGCATTACTATTTTCTTGATATATTAAAAACTTACAAACTATTACTTACTACTTACTTATTTTTAAGCTGTCTTAAATTGTGATGAGTTTTTAAATCTCCAGACAGGCGAATTTTTTAAAGAATTCGCATTTCGGATTCTATTCTAGAGGATGATGCAAAGTTTCGGCACTCGCTGACGTAATCTTTTTATGTAAACGACGGTATAGCTTTGTATTCGTCTAAATAGCTCTGGAGCAACGTTTATGATGCGAAAAAACCTAATTGCTTAAATTTTTTCAACTTGTTCGCTGTATTTTGTTCGTGTTTATACGTGACTTACATATAAAAGGGAAACTTTAAAATCAAAACCACGTTACGGAGACGAAGCAGTGACCGAATAACTGAGTCATAGTTCATATCATAGTAGGTTGTTGTTTACAG